GGGTGGGTGGGGAGGGACGGTTGCGCCGTGGAGAGAGCGCCCAAAGGGCGGTGGATTCCGTGTTGGCGATAAGTGCGACCACAAATCCCCGGCACTGGCTGTCAATAACCATTTGAACCGAGCTGCGGCGGCGGCGGCGGCTAAAGACGGCGGATGAAGGCGGGGAAATGAAGAAAGAGCCCGCCAGTGGAAAGCGCTTCAGAGAGAGAGTGATGCGGTCTGGCTCGTGGATTAAAACCAGTCCGGCTCCTCTAAAACGAGTGCCCTCTTATTATTGATCAAACCTGTCAAAGTGTCGCTTGCTACGGCCCAAGTTTAGCCTTGAATGTTTCAATGTCCGTTGGTGTAGTACACTAGCAAGTGGGGTTTGTTGTTCTGCCTCACACCTTGTTTGTCCTCTTTTTTTTTTTTTTTTTAACGATCCGGAAGAGGCAAAAAAAAAAAAAAAAATCAACACCATCGATGAGACTCGAGCTGGCTTCAAGGTGCCAATTTCCTGTGACCGATTGGGACACTCTGCTGTGTTTTCATTGCGCCAATTAGAATCGACTACCTGGATGCTAGCCACCTTGGGTCAAGGTCACACAAAAACACACAAAACTCACAAAAACAGAAGAGTGAATTCCCACAAAATTGGACGTCTGGAAAATTGTTTGAAAGAATTCCTGGGAGGCTTCAATTGGTCCCCCCCCCCCCCAACCTCTGATTGATGACGTGATCAAAACTCAAAGAGAAAAAGCAATGGAGGCGTCTGCTATGCGTCCTAGCGGCTTCTTCTTCACTGTCACGCTTGCGAAGCCCCGAGAACAACAAAACGCAGCTCGGGGATGCGAGGCAGAGCGACGGAAAGGGTCAGGGGAAGAAATGAAGTGGACGGGAGAAAGATAGGGAGCAGGGGCCACTCATGCGGCGGGAATACGCAATGAGGGCGAGCGGACGCGGCTGCGGCGATCGGGCCGGGCGATAAACTCGCCGAAAAGGGAACGCGAGGGGAACGAAACAGGCTTTATCCTGCTTGCCCTTCGGCTGCCTCCGGCTTACTGTTTGCTATCCGGACGCATTAAGTGCCGAAATGTGAACTCGGGACGCCGGGGAGAAGAGATGGCGGCGAGGGCGTGGACAGCGGGTCGAAACGTCGTCACTGACGGCGGCGATAAGAGTAATTATCGGGAGACAAAAGCCTGCTGTTGTCCTATCTGACTTTAGTCGAAGAGGCCATCTTGAAAAAAGGGAGATTTGGGGGGTGCGTTGTTGCAGTCTCGAGTCCGGATTTAAGAGGAAGGGCGGAGAAGGGCAAAGGGATCCGAGCCGCTTTGGTTGAGAGTCCGCGTGGATCATCCAGAGGGTCAAAACGGCCGCCCTTGGACATTTGTATGCCGGTGCGGTTTTCTACGTCGGCGCTGATAAAAGCGCCGTCAACATCCTAATCACGGTCATCGCTATCACCATCATTCTTTCTTTTTTTTTTCGTCTTGGCTGAATCACTCCGCAATATGATTGCTTTGGAGCCTTATCGCAAAAAAAAATAGTGTCTCTTTGGTACCTAATGACTTTAAAAACAAGTCCGATAAAGCCCCCTTTGACGAGCAAGAGTGTTCCGCGATTAGCCGTCGGGGGCGATAAACACGGCGTGGGATTAGCATAGCGTCGGCAGGCCGGCTTCAAAACCATTTACCAGATCGTATAACGGCACCCTGCCGAAGCTACAGGTAGCTGCCGCTAAAAACGCAGCGCCATGAATAAAACATCCTTGCAATTGACGTGAGGCAGCAGACTTTCATATCTCATACGAATTCCCGCGACGGCGCGCGAGAGCAGTTTACCTCATTTGCAGCTCAAAACAATAACATTGTAAGAAAAAAAAAAAAAAAAAAACGTTAAGAATGAAAATATAATTTTCAGGGTGCGGGGAGCTAGCGGTGTTTAGAGATGGCATAGCGAGCGTCCGGAAATCAAGTTAGCGTCCACTCGGGTGGCTTTTGTGCGGGTGCGTTTCAACTTGCGTTGGCTAACTGTAACACGGTTGGTTCGTCCCTCTGACAGGTTTGGCGCAAGTTGTGCTTTTATTTTGAAGGTCTGACGTTTACCAGGATGCACGCAAGATGTTTCCTTGAGCAGTGTGCAGCAGCCGAGTGGGACGTTTATTGCTTTTGAGTTTTCGTCGCCGAATATGCCGCGAGGTCTGTTGAGCACCTGACGCAATGATTACAGGAAACGAATGACAGAGACGGCGCGAGTCACGCAAAAAAAAAAAAAAAAAAAAAACAAGCGGATGTCAATCAAAGTGAAACACAACTTACATGTCGTCTGTCCGTGAGGCCGCCTGCTTATTTTTCTTCACGGACAAAAGAGGCGAGTTAACATTTTTTGGACTCCACCATGCAAAAGCGGCACTTTTGGAATTTCCAAATGAAAAGCTGGCACCTGTTTGGCGTTGTTGACACACTGCAGGTACATGGCTGCGATGTTGGAGCAGTGGAGGGTCTGCCCGGCGTTTTCTCGGTAGCACGCGAGGATCTGGCCCTGCAAGTCGGCGCACACCGGGTGTGTCTCGTAGCGCCTGTGAAAGAGAGAGGAAAGGGAGAAGGTGTTGTCAAGCCTGAGTGCTAAGCGTGCTACCATCACTCGCTCGCCGCACTCAGCGCGTCCCCGAGGCCTATTGCGGCGTTAGCGTCGCCGCGCCAACCGCTAGTTTCCAGATGCTCGACGTTCCGCTCGACTTCGCCGCGTCCGATGTTGAACTGCTTTTGTCTGACGCTTCCCAAACGCCATCGACATCCACAATGACGACATGCGCGCACGCCAGGGCTGTTACGCTCATGCCGGCGTCATCATTTTGTTCACGCCGGTGCCCAGGAAAACTCCGGTCGGTCGCACTAAAACGTCCGTGAAAGACTTTTTCTTTTTCTGCCCCGTCAGCGTTTTGAAACCGGCGTCCCCCCCCCCGGTGGTCACAATCAGATGTGGAGTCCGCCCCCCCGTCGCCCCCCCCCCACCCCCCTGGAGTGAGAAATTATCCTGTTAGGCGCAAAGCTGGGAAGCGAGAAACCACGGGTCATTACCCAGAGTGCAATGCGCCAAGAAATGCAGATCACATGTACATTGCCACGTTTTTTTTTTTTGGGGGGGGGGGGGGATTGACACCCTTTCCTTTTCGTTAAATAGTTCTTCATTCTGTGTCAAGGTACAGTATAGTAAACAAGAGAAATATTTGCCACCCTCCTCGTCTGGCTCCTGGCGCCCGCGGGCGTCTATCATGACTAGATGGGCCGCTAATTGCTTCCTTAGCCATCGGTAATCGTGCCAGGTGCACGCCGCTGATATAAAGCACGGCGTTTATCACCTGTAATGGACTCTTGGACTCTTATTTTATTTTATTTTACCCCTTTTTTCCCCTCGCTCTGCAATAAAGAGGTTGAGACGGTACTTAAGTTAATCTCGGTAACAAGCGCGCCACCACACACACAATGCAATATCATCTATCATGAAAATGAACATACTTTTTTTTGTTTTGATTTTTTTAACTACGACCACAATCCCTCCCCTCTTAGTTTTACATTCAGTGCCCTACAGCAGTTTATATCACGACCTCCGCCGAGGCCTCATAATGATCTTTCATGGCTGCCGTGTGCATGAAAGCGGTCGTTGAGATTCACGAACGCGTCACGTGGGGGAACGATGAGAACCATCCGGGGATGTTAAAAATAAGTGGCAAACAGCTTTCTGCAGTGGCCATTTTATGGCTTGGGAATAATAAAGTCATAACTTGGAAGATGCATATAAATAATGTTGACATACAGAACTTCTGTGAAATATGTAAAAATCTAACGTGGGCTTTTTATGAATTGAATGTTCAGCCTTCTGGACTACCAATATTTTTAATTTTTTTGATGATATAGCTTAATAATAAGTAAAAAGAGAGCGAAAGCATCAATTAATCAAAAATGTCCCACTGATACTTTTCTCTTGTTCATTTTTCACTTTCCGCCGCCCGCCTCCTTCTACTCCCATTCGCCTGAGATTCATGGGACATTTCATAAAAAAACCCCGAGGGGGGCGGCGGGGTATTGGAGACATCAAACTGGATGCGGTTTATTGGAAAAGGTGTCAATGTGAGTGTCGTCTTGTGCCATCAGTCGCACTAAAGGTAAAGACCGCTATAACCACATCCATACACGCCGAGTCTTTCTCGCTGTGATACACTAATAGAGGGCGTCAAAGAAAGGAGGCTGGTTTCCTGGAGATACCGCACATTACAGACTCTCAGCCCTGGGCCATAAATCAAAAAGCAGGGAGAGCACAGGGGCCACTCTGAGATGCTGAAGTAGCGCAAAAAAAGGGGATGAGGACATAATGTACAGGGGGGCGGGGGATACCAAATGAAAAAAATAACAATAAAAAAAAAAAAAACCTTGGATGAGAACACGGTACTCAAATGGCATTTAGCTACAACGGATTACCTGCCGGATTCCCATCAAAACGTCTCCTTACCTCAAGGTCTCCCCGACATTATTAAACCCACCCACGTCAGCACTTTGGCACGAAGGCGGGAAAAAAAAAAAAAAAAAAAGAAACGAACTCACGTGTGCTCAACGACTTATTGACGGAGCGCTGAGGACGTATTGCGATCAATATGCACGACTTCGAGCTGATCCAGACGTTGACTGCTCTAACCTTGCAAACCTGTCGAAAATGCACGCCCACACGATTTTGCAGTAATTACTGTCGGGTTTAGTTGATAACTAGCCGCATCGGTATAAAACGCAGCTTTCCCTTCAATTTTGGTGCATTTTCTACATTTACAAATAAAATGATGGCCTTTTGTCAAAAATCCGACTCAATCAAAAATACCGTATTTTCCGCACGACAAGGCGCGTCGGAGTAGAAGGCGCACCATTCATGAATGGCCTATTTTAAAACTGTTTTCATATCTAGGGCGCACCGCATTATTAGGCGCATAGAATAGAAGCTGCAATAGTGACTGCAATTGCATTATGCATCCACTAGACGGAGCGATGCTAAAGGGAATACAATACAAAACAATATATAATATAATATTTAAAGAAATAAAAACTTTATCAACTTACGAACCAAATGTGCCATTTTCTACTATTTATGACGTATGTTTCAAACCAAACCAAACCCTCCTCAATGGTTTTATTTTATTTAATTTTTTTATTCCAGCGTAGCAATGTGCATTGTTGAGCTCTCGCCGATTGTAATCAGAGCTTGAACTGAACTCACACACACGAATAACGATGCACACAGATCAATCAAGCAAAAAACTGGCCCCTTGGATAGTATGGATCACTTTGGTACGCCGCCAGATTGAGTTCACCATCAGCACATTGTCTATTTATCATCATTTGGGTCCAGTTAGGGGTTAACAGGGTTAAGGGGAGGGTGCCGCTCGGCCCTTAAATAGCTCTCATGTTCTCTCCAGTTAAGGCAAGCGTCACGACTGCGGGGGGTAGATAAATATAAACGATCCAGCAAGAGAGAGAGAGAAAAATGACACGTGATGCTTTTTTTTTTTTTTTTTTTAAAGCGGACCCAAGTGACCCCCTGTCGTGAGTCCATCAGAGTGGATGGAGGAAAAAGAAAAAAAAAAAAAAAAGACATCATAAAAGGGCAAAAGGTGTGAGGGGTCGACATGAATGAAACGTGTGAGCTTTTGGCAGCCCCGAGAAGAGCTTTTAAAGGCGTTATTGACTCGCGGCGCCTCGGCTGAATCGCCATCTCCCTCGGTTGCCATGGTGACAAAATTTGGCTCGGACCTCACCTGACAGCGAGGTGGCCGCTGTGCCACATCAGCTGGCATACTTCACGACTCCAAATGGACTCCCGTCATCCCGACTAATTAAATCGTAGAGTGAAAGTTTTTTTTTGTTTTGCTTTTTTGCTTCATAATCAACAATTAATTGCTTCGCTCATTTCAGAGGCACGGCCATTTGTCATTTAACGTAATGGGAGTGCTGCCAAGGCTGTAAAAGCCCTGGCTCAACACCTGATTAATATTTTGCAGGCTACTTTTTTGGACAAAGTGAAGCATTTTCGGCGCTGGATTTCTTCCACTTCAGTAACTCACAAAACAAGTTTATCCGGAAAAAATGCTGAGTGGACATATGTTGGTTCAACTTTGTCAGCTTACGACTAATTACCGTATTTTCCTCACGATAAGGCACGTCGGAGTATCGGGCGCACCTTCAATTAAAATTGTTTTCATATGTAGGACGCGTAGAACAGAAGCTACAATAGTAGCTGCGGTTGCGTTACACGTCCACTAGATGGAGCCACTCTAAAGGGAATACAATACAGCTTTATTTATATGGCGCTATCCACAACCAACCGCTGCAGCTGGAAAAAAACGCTTTGTTCCACAGAACATCGAAAATAATTCGTCAATGATTATTTTGGCAGTCGTGAGCACCAACTTCGCCACGAGCGAAAAAAGTTCTCTCTCCAGATGAGGAATGAGCATTCCTCGGGAGTCTTCCGAAGGCGCGACGGGCACTTTATATTCACCTTGAGATAAAGCGGGGACTGTGGCGACTCTTATTGTCGACAGGATTAAATTAAAAAAAGAAGAAAAGAAAGGGGGTTGTGAGATCTTTTCAAAGAAGGCAGTAAATAAACAATAGACAAGGTAACTTTTGTCGCCGAAGGGGAGGGGGATGAGCGACACTGAAGTGACAAAAAAAATTAGCTCCTCTTCTCCACGGCCAACTTGAAAACGTTGCGCATATGCATAATCAAACACGAAGACCTAACAATGCGGTCTGATCTCCGCACAAATGCTAACATCAAGGTAAGACGCGGCCGAGGCGCGTGTCTGGCGGAGGCTTACGAAATGCTTCCGCCGCTATTCACCAGGGAGCCGGCGAGGTTAAAGTGAGCAAAAGAAGGGCCGCCGAAATGTGAGCGCTGAAAGGAAAGCTTCGGGCCCCGTTTTCTTTCTGGCGCTTTGCATAATCTCACATCTTTCACGTTGGAAAATGGCTGGCAGTTTGCGCCGTCGGGACACTGAGTCCGGCGCACGTGTCGTATACGCAGCCTTCCATACGTGCCACGCGGGAAAGGTCACGCATTGAACCGCCGGACGGCGCGATAAAGCATCAGCCGAAGGAAGAAGAAGAGAAAAAAAAAAAACTTGCCGCGTACGTGGCAGCATATAAATCAGCCGCAAGGGGTAAGACGGCCTTCTTTTTCTGTGGCGCTTATCTGCCGTCAGGAAGCGAGTAAAAGTAAAAATGGTGTGACGGGCGGACCGTTGTTGTTACATTATCTCTCATGTATTGCGTGTGTATATGTAACAAGTGTGGGGAGCGCAGATCGACAACAGCATGAGCACGTGCGTGTGTGTGGCTTCCTGGGGGCCCATCTCATTTCATTGGATACTAAAACCCAATAATCTTAAAAACATGGTTGATAAAATTGTTCCATATATATATATATATATATATATATATATATATATGCATACATATACATTATCGTACATATGTCTGATTTCCGTTCACAACCCGGAAATGTTGTACATTTGCTGATGTACAACATTTCGCAAAACCGAGTACTCCTGAAGGAATGCAACTATAACTCAACTAAATTGGGATTGTTCAGCCCGAGTCGAGGTGCAGTTTTACCCGGTTGCTGCAAAATATATGAGATGGCATTAAAAAAAAAAAAAAAAAAGTAATAAGGTTTTATTTTCTCCATCAACGCAAGCAAACGCGAGGGGAATATACGGCCTCTGAGACTTCTGAGCACCTGCGGGAAACCTTATAGTGCAATCGTGTCACTGTATAAAGTTTAAAAAAAAAAAAAAAAAAAAGTTCTTTCCAACAGTCGTATTGAAAGCCAGAGCATGCAATGAGGTCAGAGTGACGCTCGTCTCGTTTCAGTTGGGAGCGCTCCGACAGACTCTGGCGGGAATGGAAAATGGCAGGGAATAGCTGCAGTGCACACCTAAACAAACAACTACATACGCGCACATTTATACACACACACGCACACGCACCTTTGCTTCCCAGGAGGCCCCACCTCTCACACTTTCATTTATTTTTCAACCTCGCCGAGGAAAATGACCGCACTGCGCCTCCGGAATGAAAGCTTCCTGTTGGAGGCTGCGGGGCGGAAACTCATAACACCTTTTGAACATTGCATGAGCTGTGTTATGGATTGCCTATTGACACATGAGATACATACGCGAGAAGGCATTTTCATTTCTCCCTTCCGTGAGATAGACTTTATTCAATGATGTGTCCCTGGTCTTGCTGCAGGGGGAATGGCACAATTGTACCGTCCTGGCACTGGAGTCTCATCATTCGCCCGATGGGGTTGACTTAGGCGGATTCGGGGACTATGGAGTCACGGCGGAGCTGTACCAAGGAACCACGTGGAAGTATCCTTGCATTCTACGAACGTCGGCGGCGTGGATGATCAAGCCGAAGATGCCTCATTACATCCAATTAACCCTCCCCTTTGATCCCGGGCGCTGCATCTCATGTTCTGCCAGACCTCGACATTTAATTAGCACACACATATGCACGCAGGGACACCACCCCCGGCCCCCTCCCCATTGTAATCCAGTCACAACTGTCCTAATGCACCCCTCTTTAATCCAATCAGCCAATCCAAAGTCTTTGCACACATGCCTTCATCACATGACCACCCACCCGGTTCGGGCCGACGTTCGGTCGCAGTCCGCGCCGTCGTTTGGCACTAATGTTATTCCAGTGACTGATTTCCACCCCCCACCCAAGCCTCCCGCCCCTCCATCTCGCTTTAATGCGATTTGGGAAGTCTCAGTTCCAGCCTGCGCAAGTCCAGCGCTACACCCCTGGTGGGCCACGCTAATCAGTTTCCAGAATTTCTCAGGGAGACAATGATCCCGGTGTTAGCACTGGCTAATGACAAGCAAACACAATAAAGTCGGTCTCCTGAGGGCCGGGGCCCAATTTGGCCCCGCCGCTCGCAACCTCCTCATCCACTTTCCCTACATTACTATGGAGTCTAATGGCCTCTTATTAAGAAGACGGATGGAACGAGGACGGGCGGAGATTCTTCGAGTACTTGGGTTACACGTGTGTGTTGACTACATGCTACACACATGACTCCTCGGATTTATTATTGCCTTCTCAGCTAATGGCCTCGACGCAACGATCAATCTTTACACTATCTGGGCATTACCCAAACACAAAATCCACGCATGGACCAAACAGATGGCTCCTGTTAGAGTTACAGTCTGCGTTACTAGCAGTAATTCAGATCCGTTTCCGGGGAAGATTTAACTCCGCCATGGCTGCCCTTTGTCACGGACTGTCTTTTGGGTGGTCTGGGAACCCCCCCGGCCCCAGAAAACCTGGATGAAGTGGCTGGGGACAGTCTGGCCGCTTAGGGTTGCTGCCTCGGCATCCCGACCGAGCATAGCGTAACACAATAATTGGATGTCTACGTGGATGGGACTTACTTGAACTTGGCGTTCACCTGGTCAGCGGCTTGTCGGTAGTTCTCCGTGGTGACCTTGTACAACTGAGCGCTCTGCGGAAAAAAAACAAAACAACGTAAGGGACATATGAATGAATGTTTAGATGGATGGACGGGCGGGTCGTATCCGTACGAGCTCAACCTTCTCATAAAAGAAGACATTCATCATCATTCCAGAAAGATCAAGCAGAAGAAAAAAAAATAGGATCAATAGTCGTGTTGGAGAGCCGGCGCGAGATGGGACATGACAAGGGCGAAAAACGGTCGCCGACACAAATGGGACACCTGTACTGCATCATTCAAAAAAGATGACGGCCGTTGTGTGACGTCGATATGCTAATTGCATCTCACATAAAATGGGCGAGTAAAACTCGAACCGGGTCATTGTTTTTCCATGAGGTCAAAGAGGATGACCGCTTGTTCGTTCATTCGTGAAAACGCAATACATAATTGATATTTGTGTCTCATTCATGTCAATGTAATGGTTCTCTAGTTTTTGTATTTGACGGATAAAAAAAAAAACAAAACGAAGGAAAGTTGGAAAGAGCTAACTTGTAAGCTCATGCTGTATCATTGCCCTCTTGGCCTTGAACAGAGTGCTTTTCATTTTATACAAAGAAACTGTCAGGAGGGCGGGAAAAGGGATTTAGAACTCGCTTCCTTTGTTTCCAGATAAAAAGCTGATTTTTGGAGTGCTCCCTTAAGTCGAAAGAAAAAAAAAAAGTGCTCACCGGAGTGCTGAAGCTGAACCATTGGATATGGCAAGACTTAGAAGAAGAAATTTCAAGTTGGAGAATACCTGCCTAAACGGCACGCCTGGCACTAATCAGTGCGCGAATCCATCCGGGAAGACAAACAGCCTCCGGCGACAGTGATTGGCACTGTCAATGCGCAAATCACGTATGCGCCGTCACGCTGGAGCTCGACACCGACGGGCAAAATTAGAAGGAGCACAATTTGCGTCTTGGCAACCGATTGACAAGCCAAGTGGGACCGAGTGCTCATTTTGGATCAGGAAGGATCATTCCTGCTTGGATGATCATCTCATGAAACGCAGGTGCTAGTGGCTTCTTTTCGGTGCTTGTCTGCAACCAAGCAGGAAACACACCACGCACCAAGCGGAAGGGACTTCCTTTCTGAAAAAAAAAAAAGGATTTCCGGATGTGATTCATATCACCCGACAAAGATCAGAATGACTTTTCGAGGGGACTTTTCCTCGCAGCGGTGACTAATTCCAAACCACGTCATCCTGGGTGGGCGGACACAAAAATAAATCCAATTTCATCCATTCGCCAGGTGAAAAAGAAAGCGAGCAAAGATGAGAGGGGGGGATTGACGTGCCGTGTGGAGGGAAAACGCTGATAAGACAAAGACCGGAGAGAGACAGACGTGCCGGGGTTGATTGTTAAATATGAGATTGTTTTACGGCGGGCAGGTATTGAGTGAAGACGTAATAAATATATAGATCTTGTTTTCAGAGGCTATTTGCTCGCTGCGGGCCCAATGAGAAGCGGCGGCGGAGGCAGCGGGGAGAGGCATCGGGGGCTGAGCTGACTGCGAGCGCGCTGATGGCCTGTCACGGGGAGCCTCTCTGATGAATGGCCATGTTGGATTGGAACAGACGTGCAATATATATCAGGCTTATATTCTCTCTCGTTCTTTCGCCGTGTTCCTCTGCTACTTTTCCGTGAAAGTGAAATACGGTGGGAGGAGCCGGAGGTAAAAAGACGCGCTTATGGAATGTTGAGGGGAAGTTTGGAAATCTCATTTGTCGGACTCTTGCGCGAAAACAAAAACAACAACAAAAAAACGACAAAAAACAAAAAAAGACTTCGAGGGCAAAACTGCGTTATTGATCAAAGGACAACATGGCCGGTGAATGGTCCCTACCTGGAAGTCGATAATGCCTCTCTGTGAGTTGATATTCATCTTTTCAACCATCTTCAAGCCTCTTTCTATACGGTGATTTTTTTTTGACATTTCACCTTTTGTCCTTGAGGCGACTATCTGGAGAGGGGATCGCGAAAAAGAGCGCTCGGAAGGTTTCGCTTAACCTTTAGTGAGCCTAACTAAAAACCTAGCCTGTTGATTTTTTTTTCCCCACTGAATATAAAGCCACCTTTACAACACGATGATATCAATATGTCATCTGAACGTTAGAGTGCCCCGTTGACTCAACCGATTGCCATTCCCGCTTCCCATTTGAAGCCATTTGCAGCCGAGCGCGCGAGGTAGCAAACTCACCCTCTCCTCCAGCCGAGCCAACTGCTCCTTGTAGAAGGCATCCTGCTTGTTCAGGTCGGCCTCTTTCGCCTCCAGCTGCTTCGCCTGCGCGCACACACGCACACAAAATGTGATGGGTGCAGTGGCGCGAGAACACACGCGAGTCACTTTCCGATAAATAAACAAGTGCCTTTTTCAATGTTTCGGTTGAATCTTCAAATCGGGGCCAGACAGTTTAATAGCAAACGATAACATCATGTACGGCTGATCGTGGACCCCAATTTTTTTTTTTTTAAATGTCATTTAAAGTAAAAGTTAGACTAGAGTTTGAAAGGGAGATTGGAATGCTGGCGTTTGATTGAATGGTGGCTTATTTTCTAAAGGGACTCTGAGCAAAAAGCATGACATGATGAGTTTCAATTAACATGCAAAAAGGCAGAAAAGTAGAATTTGTGGCATTCCGCGACGCAGCATTCGTTTTGGCAGAAAGGTAAACCGAAGCATCTTTGAAGTTATAGCGCTGAGCTTCCAAGGCCTCCGCTGAAATGTGTATGCCATTGATGACAAAATCTCAAGCGGGGAAAAAAAAAAAAAATACACACTTTCATTGGAAAGACTTACCCTCAGTCCAATCTCCTTTTTGGGAAGCAAAGAAAACAAGGGAGCAAAGAAGAAAATTAATGCTGAACTAACTGATTCAGTACCAGCCCTTTCCAGACCCGGTTTTTTTTTTTTTAGCCTAACTCTTGACAAAAGTGAAAAAAATAAAAATAAATTAGAAACGAGTACCTGGGATTGAGTGTGTGGAGTCTGAAAAGACATATATATTCGTCTTTGGGAGTGAATACACTTCATCGACATGATTTATGGGGAGGGATTACGATTCTCACTTTGAGCCTTTAAAATCTCAGACAAAGTCCTTTCGCTCAGCGTCTCCACATATTGTACTTTATATAAGCGACACCCTTCTTCATGCGTATGCATGAATATCCTATCCCTACACACCGTCGAGGACTGTTCTGGAGGATAACAGCAATGCAAATGAGGGCCTTGAAGCCGGCGCTTTTGTTTGAAGGAGACCGAGATAATGACGGAAGGTACACCTAATGAAAAAAAAAAAAAAAAAAATGCATTAGCCCATCCAATTTCACCGCTCGCCGATAAGCATCTGTGTTCAAATACTCGGTTCACTTGCGAGGTGGGAGCTGCATGCGTTATGAGTCGGATGATGTCGCCCGAGAGGCTGGACCGTCATCGGACGGGGAAACTGCCACACGCGGTTGACTTGTGACTGCAGTTCTCTTCGAGTGCCAAAATATCGGTACTTAACCACCCAAGCGTCACCCGGTAGGATAACTGTGAGGGGGTGGGCGGAGCTAAAGGGGGTTTGTGAGCAGTCGCACACGTGGTGGAGCGCAACGTCGGGCCTTGAAGACGTCGGGCTTTTTGCAGACAAAAGATGCACTCAGACGGCGGGACGCAAACAGAACCTCAGACACTGATCCGGAGCGCGCACACACACACACACACACACACACACACACACACACATATAAACACACACACACACACAAACATATATCCAACGCAGCAGCCGAAGCAGCTGTCCCCGTAGAGGCCGGGCGGGCGGGCTGAGATAAATGCGTGCTGAAGGCGAGACTTAAGGTGCCATTAAAAGAGGAGAGGTTGTGATAGAAAACGAGCACCCTGGGGTTTTTTTTTTCCTTGCGCGCGCCCGTTAAATCTGCTGGCGGGCATGTCGGCCCGCCTCCCGGACGACACATTCAGAGCCCGACGTGCACACTATGTCAGGATTACTTCCAAGTGATCGCCCCCTTTCAGCGGACCTTAAAAGATAATCTAATCATGCTCCCGGCCAAACAATAGCAGCGAGCGCACCACACACCTTTTGTCCCTGTAACGAAGAGTTTTTTTTTTTTTTAAATGTCATTTAAAGTAAAAGTTAGACTAGAGTTTGAAAGGGAGATTGGAATGCTGGCGTTTGATTGAATGGTGGCTTATTTTCTAAAGGGACTCTGAGCAAAAAGCATGACATGATGAGTTTCAATTAACATGCAAAAAGGCAGAAAAGTAGAATTTGTGGCATTCCGCGACGCAGCATTCGTTTTGGCAGAAAGGTAAACCGAAGCATCTTTGAAGTTATAGCGCTGAGCTTCCAAGGCCTCCGCTGAAATGTGTATGCCATTGATGACAAAATCTCAAGCGGGAAAAAAAAAAAAAAAATACACACTTTCATTGGAAAGACTTACCCTCAGTCCAATCTCCTTTTTGGGAAGCAAAGAAAACAAGGGAGCAAAGAAGAAAATTAATGCTGAACTAACTGATTCAGTACCAGCCCTTTCCAGACCCGGTTTTTTTTTTTTTAGCCTAACTCTTGACAAAAGTGAAAAAAATAAAAATAAATTAGAAACGAGTACCTGGGATTGAGTGTGTGGAGTCTGAAAAGACATATATATTCGTCTTTGGGAGTGAATACACTTCATCGACATGATTTATGGGGAGGGATTACGATTCTCACTTTGAGCCTTTAAAATCTCAGACAAAGTCCTTTCGCTCAGCGTCTCCACATATTGTACTTTATATAAGCGACACCCTTCTTCATGCGTATGCATGAATATCCTATCCCTACACACCGTCGAGGACTGTTCTGGAGGATAACAGCAATGCAAATGAGGGCCTTGAAGCCGGCGCTTTTGTTTGAAGGAGACCGAGATAATGACGGAAGGTACACCTAATGAAAAAAAAAAAAAAAAAAAAAAAACACTACA